AAACCTAACCCACTACACCACTACCACCTCACCTACTCCACTAAACCCACTACACCACTACCACCTCCACTTCACCTGCTCCACCTACCACCTACTACCACCTACTCTTCTATATATAGGAATCATTGTAGCATTCAATAATTCAATAATTACAAACATCAATCAATAATACAATCATTTCTCTTTATACATTAAATTTCTACATTTTATATTTTGTGGTTTGATTTTCATGCATTTTGTAACAAATGATGGTTGGTAGCTTCAAATGACATGTTATGTATTGATGGAATGCAATTTTATGTTATTTCAATATTTTTTTAATTATTTTTTACTAATTTTGTGACATATAATAAATAAAATTAATTATATATATTGAACGTGTCCCCAGCGTGTCGTGTCCCCCATTTTTTGAAAATTTGCGTGTCGGCGTGTCCGTGTCGTGTCCGTGTCGTGTCGCGTGTCCGTGTCCGTGCTTCATAGCTTCTAGTCATCAGACCAAACAGACTTTTTTTTATATGATGGCAACAAAGACGGCCCATTTTGCTAGACCCAAATACTCTAACAAACAAAGACCATGTAAAAAAAACGGCAACCCCTTTTAGCTGCTGCCCCTTATATATTTTGCTGTTAGATCATGAACTTAACTAGCCCAAATAAAGTCCTTGCCCTATACTAACAAAAGAGCCCTCTTTTGTTATAAGCAGCAAGAATTTTTCCTTTCTTTTTTTATTTTTTAGTTTTTATATTCTTTTGATAGAACCAACCAACACAGGTTGCTTTGCCTATCATTTGGGGAACAAACTATCTATTTATTTAGCAAACTTTTGCAAAGACAGCCCCTTTTTTTTTACAGCAGCAACCTGTTTGTTGCTGTGTTGTATAGCAGATTTTTTTTTTTTTTTGAACAAATTTTTTTTTTTTTTAAGCTTGCTACCTTTTATTTTATTTTGTATTAGTAGCAGCCCTTTGTACAATTAGCCAAATTTTTTTGTTAAAAGTCGAATCGGCCTTACCCCCTCGTGATTCGTGCAAGTGAATTTTAATTGTACGAATCATGATGACTAATTTCTTTCTTTTTTTGGTTAACGATTATTTCATGTCTTTTTCCCTCTTTTACAGGCAACCCGCAAGGCGTCAGAGTTTGTTTGCAGGTATCATTGCCCCTTCTAGCCTAATGGCAATGAGTGACTTGAATCCTTGGCAGTGACTGTGTTCGTCACCCTAACGGCTTGGATCCTTGGCAGTGAATGTGTCCTTCACCCCAACGGCTTGAATCCTTGGCGGTGATTGTGTCCTTTCACCCCAAGGGCTTGAATCCTTGGCAGTGATTTTGTCCTTCACCCCAATGGCTTGAATCCTTGGCAGTGATTGTGTCCTTCACCCCAAGGGCTTGAATCCTTGGCAGTGATTTTGTCCTTCACCCCAATGGCTCGAATCCTTGGCAGTGATTGTGTCCTGCACCCCAAGGGCTTGAATCCTTGGCATTGATTTTGTCCTTCACCCCAATGGCTTGAATCCTTGGCAGTGAATGTGTCCGTCACCCCAACGGCTTGAATCCTTGGCAGTGATTGTGTCCTTTCACCCCAATGGCTTGAATCCTTGGCAATGATTATGTCCTTCAGTCCAATGGCTTGAATCCTTGGCAGTGAATGTGTCTGTCACCCCAACGGCTTGAATCTTTGGCAGTGAATGTGTCCTTCACCCCAACGGCTTAAAACCTTGGCAGTGAACGTCACCCCAATTGCTTGAAACCTTGGCAGTGATTGTGTCCGTCACCCCAATGGCTTGAAACCTTGGCAGTGATTGTGTCCGTCACCCCAATGGCTTGAATCCTTGGCAGTGAATGTGTCCCTCACCCCAATGGCTTGAAACCTTGGCAGTGAATGTGTCCGTCAAGCGGAACATGCATCCTTTATGTGTGATTTGCACAAGCTTCCGAGAGTGTTTCTAAATCAGAAGAAGACGTGCAAACTGCTCTGAATGTTTTGAGCCAACACAAGAAGAAGAATGGACAACACAGTGTTGTGGAACGTGCTTTTGAAATGGCTAAGGCTTCTCTTAATGAATGAATGCACTTTTATTTTGTTATTCATCCGAACATAATGTATTTATGAAATTTCGCTCAGTGATAGATATATTTGTTATATGAAATTTCTCAATACAATATATTGATTTGTCTTATTTTAGCCGTTCACAGTTTATACTCTTGCGGGCCAGGAGTATCCAATGTTTTATCACCTTAGATCTCGGTGAAGTATTTTAGCAGTTTAATCACATACAATACCGTTGGTGGTCTTCGACTTTTGTTTGGCCGTACACAGTTTATACTCTTGCGGGCTAGGAGTATCCAATGTTTTACCACCTTAGATTTAGGTGGGATATTTTAGCAGTTTAACCACATACAATACCGTTGGTGGGTTTTTTTTTTTTTTTTCTTTGCCCTAACTTTTGCCTAGGCCGCCCTTTCAGGTTTTCAACCTAGCAGGCTTTCTTAAGGGTAATATCTCTTCAAGAACCTTGCATTGGTTGGGGGAATGATTCTGTCACCATCCATCGTTATCAACAAATAGGCCCCATTAGAATAAACCTTCTCAATCACATAAGGTCCTTCCCATTTGGGCTCAAGCTTTCCTTTGGTTCTTCGTGAGACTACTATGGGTGTTCTAACCATTAGTACCAAGTCCCCCTTTTTAAAGGAACGAAGCCTCACTCTTTTATTGAATGCATTTGCCATCCTTTGTTGGTAGATTTCCAAGTTCTGTTGAGCAGACAACCTTCTTTCATCCAGGGTCTCCAGCTCAGCCAACCTCACTCTTGCACTTTCATCTTCTGTTAAGGACTCTTGTATTGCCACTCGTAATGATGGTATTTGAACCTCAAGTGGTAACACTGCTTCTCCTCCAAAAACCAACGAATAAGGGGTTGCTTGAGTAGGAGTTCTGTGCGAAGTTCGATAAGCCCACAAAGCTTCTTGTAACTTTTCGTGCCAAGCTTTTTTGTTCTTATCCACCATCTTCTTAAGAATTTTGCACAATGTCTTGTTGAAAGCTTCTGCCAAACCATTGGCAGGTGCATGATATCTTGATGAATGGTTGTTTTTGATTTTGTACTTGGCAAATAACTTGTTCAAAGCATCACTCCTGAATGGCTGTCCATTATCCATGATGATACTTTCTGGAATCCCAAACCTGTAAATGATATGGGTTCGGATGAACTCGGAGACAACTGTGCTTTTTATATCCTTTAAAGCCACAGCCTCTGCCCATTTTGAAAAATAGTCAGTTGCAGCTAGGATGTATCGATATCCTGGAAATGGATCAATATGAACTAAATCCTATTTGGAAACTGGGGTTGCGAGAGGAGGAAACTAAAAAGTAAGGTAGACGTTCGAGAAAGGCAACATGGCGGGAGACATACATGCGATAGGAAACAAGGTCATAACAGTGATGACTTTTTTGAATGAGACTGTAACCCAAAAAGACATATAGAATAGAGTGGGCACTAAGTGCTTGTTAGGCATGTACTAAAAAAGTGTATTTTTTTGCATACATACACTTATTTGGATCACATCAATCAACATCTATCAATATCTTCTCTCTACCTTTCAACCCACTTTCTCCACTTTTCTATATATTTTTTTTTTATAAAAAGTCAAAAGTGCATTTATTTAGAACATCCTGAACCACCCCTAAGTTTGGTCCTATCTTTGTGGGGTAAAAAGACAAAACAAGCAGTCCTAAACACACGAAAGAGAGAGTAATTAGGAAGTTGAGAAAACAGAGCCTCATAAGGAGGCTGGCTAGAAAGAAGGGGGGTAGGCATATGGTTGAGAAGAAAAGCAACATTAAGGCCTGCTTCATCCCAAAACGGAGCTGGAACGGAGGCAAAAAGAAGGAGAGACCTAGTTATCTCAAGGAGATGACGGTGTTTACGCTCAGCTCGACCATTTTGGGCAAGTGTATTAGTACAGGAAATTTGGTGAATGGTACCCAAATTGGCCAAATATTCACAGAACTCAATTTTAAAATATTCCCCGCTCAAGTCAGACTGTAATAATTTAATAATTGATCCAGATTGTAATAATTTAATAGTAAATCCAAACTGTGTAGTGACCATAGACTGAAAAGTACGATATATTTAGTAGAAGTCAGACTTATGAGTCATAAGATAAACCCAAGTGTAATGGGTGCAGTCATCAACAAATGAAACATAGTATGCAGAACTCCCTTTAGTAAGAATAGGAGAAGGACCTCAGACATTAATATGAACTAAAGAGAACAGTGTATTAGATATAGAGTTATTTGTACGGGAAGGTAAGGTTGTCATTTTGGCAAGTTTACATCCCAACACTCGGTAAGTTGATTATGAGAAATTTTACTCAATATACCTGATTAAGCTAAAGACTGTAAGCGGTCAGCAGACAAATGCTCTAATCTGGAATGCCACAAGTGGAAAGGACTTGATAAAGGATCTAACTAAAAAGAGGAAAAAGTTGTCGGAGAGGTAGTCATAGGCAGATGTACGCTCTTCACCACATAGAGTTCTTTAACTTTACGACTAGTCCCAATCTACTGATTGGACATCCGATCCTATACAGAACAGATAGAAGAAGAAAAGATAACATCAACCGAAGGCATCAAGCTGACTGATAGATAATAAACTGACAGATAACTAAGGAACATGCAGGATAGATGGAATAGAAACAGCAGACATAGCAGACGGTAAGACAGATCTAACAGATATAACAAGCATATCAGACCCATTAGCAGTATTAACAATAATAGGAAAGGGAAGGGGTGTACAATTTTGAAGTAAGGAGAGATGGGAAGTCATATGATGAGAGACACTAAAGTCAAAAATCTAGACAAACAAAGAGATACCTGAAGAAAACCCAAGCAAACCTGAATGAAAAGATGAAATAACGGAGGCAGATAGAGATGGCTGGGAGGTAGATAATATATGCTGAAGTTGACTAATCTGAGCATTCAAGGAAGCCAAGTCAGGATCAGGAGCAAGAGTAGATATAGTAGAATCGGCGGAAGGCTGAACGGTGCTCAGAGGAGGAGCACAGAACTTGATCGAAAATTACTGAGAAGACGAGGCAGACATAGGCAAAACAGACAAACATCATTTCTTGGGACAATGATACTTCCAATGACCTCTCTAATGGCAGAAGGCACACTCATTTGAAGCCAATGGCCCTTTCTTGAACTTTGTAGAAGGTTAAAGCTGATAGGTATCCGATATCGGAATGAACCAAAACAAAAAAGATAACTGATAGAGCAAAGTGTGATAAACAAAGACTAGATGAGCCAAACTATAATAAATCCAAAATTTAATAAACCAAAATTGTACTAGATGTGATCAAACCAACCACGAAGCAATACAGAACTCCAGATAAGAGAGACCCAATTCAAATCAGAGACTGAAGCTAAGAACCTAATGCCGAAGTTGAGGAAGAGAGGCCTCTAGAATGAGAGACAAACCACAGAGACGAAGCAGATGACCGGACAAAGCAAACGAACCATATCCAATCTCAGATGGATCGCGAATCAAAGATGACGAGCTGTGATTTGAAGCATATAGGTCACGACTGAAAGAGAAATCTTGGGAGGCGTGGAACAACAACTAAAATAGAGATGGGTCACGATCCCGACACTGGGTAGATCGCGATTCCGACGAGACCAGATGTTGATTGTGAGTCTGGTACAATCGCAACTCCAGAGAACCACGAACGAGAAGTCTACAAATCGAGAAGAAAAAGCTTCAAACCAGAGAGAACTTCGAAACTTCGAAACTTCGAATGATTAAAAGGAGAGCTGGGGTTTCACGCAAGGCTCTAATACCATGTAAGAATTCCAAATAACTCTATATATTTAATTGTGTATGTTTACAAAGAGTGCATCAGTTATATAGCCCTAATCTATGACAGAAAAAGGAAATACAAAGAAAAGGGAATTGCCTAAAATTGCCTAATTTCTAATATACCATATATACAATATATATTCTCACAACTCTTATAGCTATTTTAACAAAAGGCTAATTATATTTGGAGAGTCTTATCAGGATTTTTAAACAATTTGTATGGGTAGATAGGTAAAATAAATAATAGTATTGCAGCACATAGATGAAAAAATGGTTAGGCAAAACATAGAGTACACCTTATTTATACTTTAGTTAATGAAATTGAAGAGTGGTATTGAAGTT